GCTTCCTCAATGGAAGAATGTAAACACCGCCCACTGGCTCAACTCTGCTGTCATTCACCCACAGCACTGCTGCTTGATTCCCATGGCAGGTGTTCAACAAATGAACAAGGATCCCTCCCAACGTTCACTAATCAACCTGTCTCTGGAGATGCCATTCATATTCTCCAGCGTGCCTACAAGATGTCCTCTTGTGCTCTGAAAATGAGCACAGTTCTCATCCAAGGGCCATGCACATTGTCTCAACAAGAATGCTTTCCTTCCACTGGGCCTCCTGTCTTTGGCACCTGCAAGGCTCAGCCCCCTCTGATATATTCAGACTATGACCAGCCTCCCTTGAAGATCTTCCCACTTCTCCATAAATATGTGAGAGAAACACAACTAAAGCCTCATTATTTCTATGAAAATATCTGCCTTTTTTATGTAGTACTGTGAAAATTTTCTGATTGTCTTCTACAGGAAAGCTGTTATCCCTATGAAAACAAAAGCTCTTGGGAACATGACTTCTTTCCTTGATATTCTCACATAGTTCTTTAGTGCTAAAAACACCATGGTTACCTGATGTGACAAAAGGCTCTCTATATCATTATTTGTGACAACATTAAATTTCAGTTTATGACTTTACTATTTAAATCATCTTTCATGTCCCTATACGATCCAAAATAAGACACAAAAATCGAAATCCTAAAGTATACTTCATTGCCAAAAGAGAATTCCACAAAGACAGTAAGCCACCATGGAAATTACACTCATTTTAACTTTAAAAAAAAATTCATTTGAAAATTAGCTAAGCTTTCAAATAATCAGATATTATGTTACTTTTTTATCAATCTTCCACGAGGCAAATATAATTTGTATAAATTTGTGCTTCATAATTTATTAAGAACCTTAGTGGAAAGATATTTTCCTCTTCATTCTGCATAGTGCCATCATGACCACCCTCTAAAGTGGCCTGAGCCACACAGGTGGGTCTGGGTCCTTGAACGAGACCACATGCTTGGGTGGCTGTCCTCCAGTGTCCTCAGCATCACAGGGAATATATATGAGTAGGGCAGAGTCCCTGGTTCTTCCTCTTCTATGATACAGATCTGAGAGCTTTCATCACAGCTTGATGTCACTGCCCAAGTAAGGCCATAGCAGACTCCCCTTACAGTATCTAAATCCAGTAAACTTTACTAGATTGGACTAGAGAGGAACCACAGTGTTCCTCGATGATCCACAGTGATCCTTCCATGATGTGATGTGTCTTTCCTTCAGAGGATGGAAGCTAGGACTTTGCAGCACGCACTGCTGAATCTCACCCAGCCAGCCCTGCCCAGCACAAGCACCTGACGAAGAGCCAATGAAACTGAACACAGTACAGACAAGGAGGAACCAGTACCAGGTGCCATGCACAGCTGCTCATCTGGACAAAGGAGAGTAGCACTTTGGCTACTCCCTGACTGGAGCTCTCCTAGGGTACTACCAAGGGGTAGGCAGAGGCCTATCAAACACAGAACTATGGTGATTTCAGCAAATCTACCTTCCAGGATGCTCTCTTGAGAACACATGGAATCCAAGACTCATGTACATAGCTGAATCCCTCATCCCTGAATGTTTAGGTAAGAGCAGCTCTCAGCTACAAGATTACCTGACTCATTTTAAAAGTAAAGAACCTAGAGTTCAGGCATATTAACAACTTTCCCTTTGCCACACAAGTGAACCAGCCATGTTGGCAGCTCTAGGGTAAAAGCCAGATCCCGACTGCTGGTGCAAACCTCTTTTCAGTACAGTACCAGTGTTCCCAGAGCTGACTAAAGACATTTTAAAAATATCTAGAAGCTACAAGTAGCCAAGTATTACACAGAATCTCATATTATCACTACTTATAGACAAAGAAATAGAAAAAGAGACTAGTTTGCCCAGGGTCAGCCATGAGAGAAGGCAAAAGGACTTCTGTCTCCTGACCCAGATTCTGTGGACTTCGGCTTTGAAATTCTGAGTTACAGTCTCTGAAATTCTAGGTTTGGTCCCAAATGCATCCTTGGATCTTTTTGGCAGTGTAAGATTGCTGGAAGAATCAAACAGATCCACTGACTTCTGGTTTGCAGCTTACCCTGTTTAGGTTGAGCATGAGATTTAAACAATGTTGCCTTTCTTCACCCATTCAAAAGCAAAGTTATAAATGGGTAAAATGCTGACATACTGTCACTAAGTCTTAGCTACAGTCACTTTATCAATTCAAAAAAGATCTAGAATTGCTGGGTGTGGTGGTACATACGTATAATACCAGCACTCAGGAGGCTGAGGCAGAGGACAGCAGCAAGTTCAAGGCCAGCATGGGCTACATAATAGTGAGTCCAAGGCCAGTCTGAACTATACAGTGAGACCCTGTCTCAAAAACACTTAAAAAAAAAAAAAAAAAGAGCTAGAATCATACTACAAAAAAATTATTTATTACTGAAGTCAACTGAAGAGTCTATTCTTACAGACTCAAAAAAAGAAAGCAGTTGTGTAGAAAAAGGCCAACAAGGGGGACCTCCATTTTCTCCACAAGTCCTTTCCTCCAAATGCCCATTAGGATTGAAATTGGCAAGAAAGGAAGCAAGCAAGCAAAGGGGCTACCAACTGATCAGCTGTGACCTTTCTTTGCACACATGGAAGTTACATTTTTTCCAAGTGAGAAACTGAAAAATCCAAGTATTGCTCATTTCCTGTTGACCCCTGGTCACCACTCCAGGTGGAGATTTCCAGTCTATAAGGAAATGTTTCTCCAAAGAACTGTTTCCACAGGTTGGCTGGATCGTGTGCATGGAGGACACTCTCACACCTGGCCATCTGATGGCTGATGAAAGCGACGACCAAGGAGCAATATCCCTGAAGCCTGATGTGGTACATCCAGGGCATGGTGAAATATCTGCAGAGTCCAAGTAAACTGTGAACTAAGGGCAACCAAGAGAAGGCCTTAGCAGGAAGCTTAATACTAGCTGAAAAATTCTGAATGCAGAGGAGATATATTTCCCACTCCTAAAAGCATGGTTACAGTTGAGTTTTAGTAATAACTTAAGGATGTATTTGCTTGCTAAAATAGTAAAACAGAGAAATTCCAAGGAACACAAATTCCAAGGAACACAAATTCTAACAAATTTTCAATTTACTAATATCAAAAGAGAATTAAATCAATCTCTAAGCCACATACTGGAGCCAAAAATCAGAAACAGAAGCACTGATGAGCTAAGCAAAAGGTTAACCAGGAAGCCTCCCCGGAGTGAGCCCCTCAACTCCAGGAATAAGAGCAAACCTCCCCTCATCACCTTGCTACCCTCTAATCCACCTAGACACTAAGGTTTCAGTGCGCCTTCACCTTCACCTTATGCACAAGGGACCCTGTACAAGTATACCTCATTCCATCCCAGCAGCCATACTTCAAAAGGGCACAGCAGCTGTTACTCTTCCTTTTCATAGGTGGGGACATCTATCTGATGAAAAAACAAATCTGATAGGTCAAATGAGCAGAGGTCAGCTGGCCAAGGAGATGGGACTATGTATGGATGCCAGTGATACTCCAGGTCCAGAACTTCTGAAAGCAGCAGCAACAAAGGTGTCCAAAAGGCTTACTGAAGCTGAACACATACTCAAAGAACTTGGGCCCACCTGTAACTATCAGTAAAAAGTTACTTTTTAGAAAACAACCAAGGCCAGTAAAGCAAATTAATGTTTTTCTAACCAATCAGCAATTTTCACACCAAAATAACTTGCATGAAGCAAGTTTTAATTTCTGAAACATACATTTCCTTATACTTATATCTTCAAGTGCACTTACACCAAAATTCTTTATCAATTAGTAACGCCACAAGTCCAGAGGCCAGCCCTCTTCAGTTGAGAATGAGGTAGAAGTGAATGTAATGGGACATATTTAGAACAGAGGTACAAAATTGGTTCTCTGTTAGCTCTTGAAATATTTTCTTTTAAAAATGGCCAGGTGTGGTGGCACATGCCTGTAATCTCAGCATTTGGGAGGCTGAGGCAGGCAGGTCGTTTCTAGTTTGGGGCTAGCCTGGGCTACATAGTGAGCTCAAAGCCAGCCTGAACTAAATAGTGAGACCCTGTCTCAAAAATAAATAAATAAAAACTACCAGGACCATTTAATAAATTTAAATTAACATTTCTGAAGGAACTAAGTGGAAGTTTTTTTTTTCTATGCAAAACTCACTGGAAATTCATGTTATATATAATATCTATAAAAATGCTGCAAACTTTGAAACAAGAATGTTAGAGCAATTTACCTGCAAAGTTAAAAATCACAATGCTGAAATATAAATAGATTAAAAGCAGAAAAGAAGGAAGTATGAGCACATGGAGAACAAAAAAGAACACCTGCTTTTATTACTTTGGTAGGGGCCCCAGTAAGGCAGTAATAGTTTCAACACCCTCAAAAGGACAAGTACCACAGAGTATTACTGAGTGATACCAGGCCACAGTTGTTTTCATCACCTACCAACCCAGGAATGATCCTTTCTGCAGTGCCAAGTAAACCTCAATTGAAAGTCTAAGGGCCCCATCTCTGTACCATTCATACTTTCAAGCCAGGTACACTTGAGAAGAGGACAATGAACCAAAGTCAGCCCTGGCATCATTCATTTTGGACATTTTATCAGTCTTTCCCCAATGAGTTTCAAAAGCCAGTTCATTTGTTGCGTTCCCACCACCTGGAATCTGGGAAGGAGATAGAGCACACACTTACTCTTTTCCCATTTCTAAACTATTGTTTGCAGTTTGAAACACTCACCCAAAGAAAGTGGTCAAAGATCCTTTGGAAATCTGTTTCACTTGCCCAAAGAAAGAGCACTCATTGCCTTTTCACTTAGTGTAAAAAGTTAAGTAACAGCCTCCTAGGAGGAAAGAGGGGACACGTGCCTCTCCAAAGTACCGTGAGAGGGTCCCACCATTGGTGGGTATGTGGGTGGACTGGGGGAAGAGGGGCTCCTTGCAGCAGACCATATTTGGGCGGCTGAATCACTTACCTTTCCCTCGGGGTCCAGAGCTGCTGGGGCCGGCGCTCCCCACCATGCAGGGCGAGTCCTTCCTGGGCCTCTTGCTCTGCGGCCGCACACTGGACCTGAGGAAGTGGTGCTGGTCCTGGGGGCTCCCCTGTGGTGGAGACGGCGCCTGTGGCCCCTCAGGGGGCGCGGAGGCGCCGCCGGCCCGTGAGGTCGGTTCTTCCCTCTTTGTGCCTCTGCCGTCCTCGGCCGCGTCTGCGCCACCGGCCCCCTCTCCTTCCAGGGACTCCTCATCAGCCGATCTCTTCCCCAGCTTCTTGAGCCCTTCCTCCCCGCTGCCGGCGTCGCCCAACTTCACTGTCATTCTGCGGCAGAGAGAGGGCGAGGGGCGGTGAGGCGGCTCCAGGCAGAAGTTTACCGCCGGGCCTCAACATGGCGGCCGTTGTTTGTTCCAGCGCCGCCCGCCCGCCTGCCTGTCGGCCCGCACCGCGCCGGACCAGAACCCACTTGCCTTGGCCCACACCATGCCAGACCCGGACCCACCCAGCCCCGCGCCCGGGACGCCCCCTGCCCAGGCCCGCCAACCAGGACTAAACGGCCAGGCCCAACCACGGCCCCGTGGGGTCCCACTGACCCCACCACCCATTCCACAGGACCGATCTCATGGCCGAGCCTGTGCCTCTTCTCCTTCCTCGCTGCCCTTCACTGCCTGGCCTCGTCCAACGCGATGGCCTCCAGCTGCGCACTTGCCCAGCAACGGCCCTCGGCCCTCGGCCCTCGGAGCCTGGCCCGCCAGCCAGGAGCAGGGCACGCCTGCTCACCCGCGTGAGGGCTCCGCCGCCCACCCCACGGCCACGATGCTGCCTTCCCCCCGGCTGGCCCGCAGTGACAGGCACCGTTACCCGGGAGCCTTTTCCCGGGGCGGGGTATACGCGCTGTTGTGAGGATCTGCAAACACCAGTGCAACAAAGGGGGTCATTTCGTGGAACAGGTTGGGGATACCCAGGAAAGTGATAGCAGTTTTGTCCTGATCCAATTGCAATAATGAGAAAAAGCAAATTGTGTAAACACTCTCAGTAACAATAAAACTGTTGCATTAACTGGTACCCAGTATCGCGTTAAATGCAATGGCCAAAAATTCTGGCAGCCAAAGGACATGACCACTCAAAATAAACTAAGAATCAGGTGCACACCGACACGTCAAGAGCAGACAGAACAATGCATAAAACGCGAAACATTCCATTTCTCAACGGATTTGGACCTTCAGCTTACCACACCCTGTGGAGAGAGGACCGTTCCCATTGAAGAGGAAAATGAGAGCGAGGCACAACACTGAGGCCCAAACACAGGAGGACGGACAAGGACCGCTCAGAAAAACGGGAACGTGGGCAAAATTCAAGGGAACAACACGATTGCTGCGTCTGCCACAAAATGGTGTGCAGTGGTTCTTACCTGTGGGAACCGATCTTTTTAGCATGCTAGTTTTATAAAACCCTGCCACAGAACATAACTATCCAAAACACAACCGGACCAAAGAGCTCCACGGCACAGGACTTCTCACTCTTCACTCATCAAGCCATCTCCATTTCCCTAGCTCAAGCCCTAAGTCCTCCAAGGCCTCTCCATGGCTTCTGAGTAGGAAGGTCCACTCCCAGAACCAGTACTGCCCCAACGGCCAAGCAGAACCCCCAGCCACAACAAGGTCCACTCGACGTGGGCCGGGCCGATGGCACCCGGTCATTCCCTGCGGCGGGGACCAGGAGAAGAGTCGGCACCGAACCCCGTCACTTCCTGACGGCGAGAAGCACCGACTCGGCGGGTCTCGGTCTGGCCCCACACCCTTTGTCCTGTCTCAGGTGGCGAGCTCACAACTCCTGAAAAGACTGTTGCCTGCCCGCTCTCGGACTCGAGCCCCGCGCACCCTGAGCCCACCGGCCAGCCTGCCATCACCTTTTTCATCCACGCTTCACAGCAGCCTGGCTCCCCGGGCCTCCGCTGGCGCCGGCAGAACCGGCCAGGCTGGGCAGTGTCGGCTGTGCGATGCTGCGCCGCCGGGCTAGTGTTTGTGAGTGAGACACGGTCGCCGAGCGGCGCTCGCCCCGCACGTCCGCTCCACAGGCCGGCGCGCGACTCGCGGGACTGCGGGCGCCGGTGGTACCGCCACCCCTCCTCGGAGGACCGGCCCGCCGCGCTCAGCTCAGTTCCGGCTACGGCGGCCGCTGAGGACGCGGAGACGGCGCCGGGGCGGGGCGGGACGGGCGTCATTCGCGGGAGCGAGCACGCCTGAGCGCTCCAACGAACGCTCCCCCCCCAGCGGCGTTCCCATTGGCCGGAGGCGGCCGCGCGCGCTCGCACGCACAAATTCGGAGGCGGGCCCGCCCGCGACGCGAGGCGTGTTGTGACGCCAACCTCGCGCCCGTGCGATCCGTGCGTCTCTCTGGATTGGCGAATCGACAGCCAATAGAGTCAGCGGCCACGCTGTGATAGGCTGCATCCTTGTTGACGGATGCGTGAGAAGAAAACGCCGCCTCAGCGCCGCGTCTGGAATCGCGCGCGAAGCCGGGCAGCGACAAGTTAGTATGGAAGCGCATCTAAAAGGACGAACATTCTCCAGCTAGTGTAGCTGATAGTCACTTTTCCTCGTCGCGGCGATGGAGTATTTTTGAAACCGTAGTGTTTATAAAGTGGGGTTGGAAAAACAAGATCCTTCCCCTCTTGTTATTACGCCTATCAGCAACGTGCACAGTGCTGCGTCTGTTTCAGACAGCGCGGCAGTTTTCAGGCCGCTGCCTGGCCCCAAGGCTCGCCCACGGGTCCCCCGCCGACTGCTCTCTGGAGGTCTCAGGGAAGCAGTCATACCTTCTCGTCTGAGGAGACGCGGCGGAGGCTCCCGAGAAACCGGCCGCTGACCTGCGAAAAGTTAAAGGGGACAAGGCGAGAGACGCTGCTGGCCCCGGACCAGAACTGTCCCCGTCACCCGCTCGGGCCCAAGCAAGAACTCCCTCTGGCCTGCTGCTCGCCAGCCCAGTGGCTCTGTTCGGGCGGGGCTTTGGGCCAAAGGCCCGCCGAGCGCTGCCGACCGCCCTCGGCTCTTTTCGATTTCCGGGCGCTTCGAGCAGCCTCGGCAGCACGTCGCCATCCTTCGGCTGTTTCCGCTTTTCTTACGCGGCGTTGTCCTGGCAACGCAGACGGCGCGGCGGCTCAGCCGGGGTGAGTGATCTCCGGGGGCGATGGCTAAGAGGCTAGGGGCAGGGTGGGGAGCCCCCGGGCCTGGACTGGGTGAGGACGGTGGTAAGCCTGCTAGTCTCCAATCCTGCCTTCCCTCGCGGCCCCATAAAGACGAAACGGCCCCCTTGGCACGGGCTTGTCACCACTGGGCCCAGTCCCAAGGCTCTGTCGTGCGGGTCCCTCTGGGTGGAGGCAGTGGGGTGGGTATTGCAGCGCTGTCCACGAGGTCTGGAAGACAACAAGAAAATAAAACATCCTGTGCTTTGCCAACAATATCTGGGTTGGTTAAACGATACCCTGGGCCAGAGTGGATAATGGTGTACCAGCCGCCACTCATGGCTTTTCAGTCATGTCCGCTAGATTCAACCGGTGACCCTTGCACTGGAGTGAGACTTTGTAGGGTGGTCCCTGAAAGTCTACGATGAAGTCCATCCTTAAGTTCCTTACACTGTAACCGACGAGTAGCGCTTCTTAAAGCTTGATTACCATGTTCCCTTGGTTGAGTGAGCTTAAGAAACTTTCCCAAAAGTTATTGGAGGCCCTTAGGCCCTGAGGATATTGGACACCTATAGGTGAGAGGAGTCAATGTGTTAGAAAGTGAAATGGTTTTCCTTTTCCTCAAAGTTTGGCATTTGAGACAGTTTTGTGTCTTAGATTTTGGGAGCTTGTTTTAAGAAAAGGAAGTGTAATTGTTTCTGAACGGAGGTCATTAATAGGTTGCCATTCATATCTGTTGTTACCTGTTTGCTTCTTTGGTTGTACTTTGGTAACTTTATTATACGAATAATACAGATGGTAGAAACTTGTTAAGATGCAAGTGAAAGGAATATTGGACAATTATACATTGTATAAAAATAGACTCATTCAGAGCTGTCCTGTAACCCACTTCTTACAAGTAACAAACTATCAAGAACACGTTTCCTCTGGACAGTGTGGCATAATACCGGCTCTCCAGAGGCCAGGGCAGGAGAATTGTAAATTAGAGGCCATCCTGGATAACGTAGCAAGACCTTGTCTCAAAAAAAAGAAGGGACCCGGGATTTAGCTCAGTGATTCCACCGCCTGCCTCACAAGCACAAGGTCACGAGTTCGATCCCCAGTACCAAAAAAAAAAAGAAAACATCTTTCCTTTTTCATAAATATCTTTATATGGAATTCCCATGTTGAGATCCATTGTTTTGTTTAGGCCAGGTCTTGTTATGTTGTCCACGCTGGACTCAGAACTCCTGGGCTCTAGGAATCCCCATCTCAGCCTCCTCAGTAGCTGGAGTTATAGCTGTGTTTCACAGTGGCCAGCTTTGAGGCCTATTCGGTGTAGAGGCACTGTTATTTGGGGCTGCAATGCTCTGATATCCCCACCTTGGGACAAATAATTTGATGAGTCAAAACAATACATGGGGCCAGGCATGCACTCGGGGGAGGTTGAAACAAGATCATTTGAGCCCAGGACTTAAAGATGAGCCTGGGAAATGATACCAAGACTCCATCTCGAAACAATAATACATATGGAGGAGCAGGTCTAGCGCAGAGCCCAAGGCAGGAAGGAAAATATTGTAAAGATCTTGCATAAGCATTCGTAGTTCTTACAATGTGACACTAGAAATAAAAAACACAGGGGAAATCAGGTATAATTTTATTTGTGTCATAATCCATCACAATCAAACTAGCATATCGCTCATTTTTCAGAGGATACTTGTTAAATACAGATGTTTCATAGCCCAGGATTTAGACCAATGTCTGACAGTAACACCTTAAAACTAATATTAAAAGGTTTCCATTGCTATTTAAAGTCACCCAGGTTTTGATATGGTGTATTTTCATTTTTAATAGATTTGAAGATTTCTTTAATGACATTACTCAAGAAAGCAGGGCCCTGTCCAGTGAGAGCCTAGGGATCATACCTGCTCACTCTGCCAGCAGCCTTGGATTTGTGCTCTTAATAGTAATGAAATCACAACCTCAAAAATTGTGACTTTAGGCCTGGGGATTTAGCTCAGTGGTTCCACCGCCTGCTTCACAAGCGCAAGTTCCTGTGTTCGATCCCCAGTACCAAAAAAATTGTGACTTTAAATTGGGCGTGGTGACATATGCCCATAATCCCAGCACTCCCAGAGGCTGAGGCAGGAGGATCGCAAATTTGAGGTCAGCCTGATCTACAAAGCAAGACCTGTCTCAAAAAAAAAATAATAATAATAAGATAAATTTTAAATTTGTGACTTTCTTTAGTATTAAGGGCAAATATTTCTAGGGAAAAGGGCCACATTTGAACTGTGACCATTTACTGGTAGCTGTGTGGCTTCTAGCTTCTCATTAAAGAGCATTTCCTTCTCTAGATGGAAACTGAGCCTTCCTAGTGTCCGCCCATACAACTATTGATTGCTAAAAGCAAGCAGCATAATCCACTTCCTACTCACTTGATATAACTTTACAGGTCTTTAATTTTTTGAACAATTCTTATTGTGATTAAATGTACATAATGTAGAGCCACGGATGGTGGTGCATGCCTGTAATCCCAGCACTCAGGAGGCTGAGGCAGGAGGAACTCTGGGAATTTAAGGCCAGTCTAGACAAAACAAAAGAAAATATACATATAAAATAAGGTTAATTTTTCAGGCTGAGTGTAGGTCATTGGTAAAGCACTTGCCCACTTTTCCTGAGTTTGGTCCCCAGCACTGAAGGGGGAAGTGATTTTAACCATTTGAAAGTTTATCGGTTTAACCTCTTCACCTACCTATACTGTACAGTTCAGTGGGATTAAGCACATTCATAGCATGTGCCACTGTCAGCATATTCATCTCCGGAACTTTCTCATCATCTCAAATTCTATATCCATCTGTCCTCCCCTCAAGTCTTGGCAGCCAGAGTGCCACTTTCTCTCTGTGATTTTATGCTGGGTGCCTTTTGTGAGTGAACCATACAGTATTTGTCCTTTGTTGTCAGAAGTACATCATCTGGCATAATGTCTTCAGGGTATCCTTTCAGCATGTGCCAGAATTTCCTTCCTTTTTGTGGTTGAGTAATATTCCTTGATGTGGGATAGATTACATTGTGTTTATCTATTCTTCTGTGGAAACACATTTAGTTTGTTTCTACTTCCTGGATATCGTAAATAATGCTGTCTGAACATGAGGGTGTATATATGTATATATAATTTAAGTCCCTGCTATCAGTTGAGTATATACTCAGAAATGGAATTGTTGGATCAAATGGTAATTCTGTTTCTAATATTTTGAGGAACTCACAGATTGTTTTTCACCATTTTCCACTCCTACCAGCAGTGCACAAGGATTTCAGTTTATCTACATCTCACCAATACTGTTTTTTGAGGTTTGTTTTGTTTTGTTGCTGATAGTAGCTGTTGTAATGGGTGTGAGATTGAATCATTTTAAATGATGACAAACCAGCCCACAAACATTCTCTTCTCTGCCATTTAGCTTCCACTTACAGACTTGAGTGTGAAAAGGTGGGCAGTAGTCAGATTGTCATTTCATCACCACCCTACCCTCCTGAAAAGAGTTGATATTTGTATCCTTTTCAGGTCTGAAAGGAAGAAGAGATTAAGTTAATTAATTAAGT